CGATAACATACCCATCAGCTTGAAGTTAATCATCTGAAGTGGTTTTGATCAAATTGTTTACGCAATTTTTCTTTTTTAAGATGTTTCTTAAGCATTTTCGGAGCATATTATTGATAATGTTTGGCAATGTTTTAGGTCATCAAAATCCGCCCCTCAGTAAAGACGTTCTTAAGGCGGTTCGACCCAATCGGCAATCGCCGAGCAGCGAGCTACTGTTCGCCCAATCTCGATATGTCCGGTGGGCCGGAAAGCGGTGGGTTGGGCGACCATAATTCACAATGACCTAAAATTCCCTCCACTGGCCCAGCACATCGCCCTCCTCTCCGAAAGCTTTTTCAACAAGATTCATAACCTCCTTTTCCAACCGACATTCTCAATAAGAAAGAACACTCATCCTCATGTAAACCGCATCTCCTCCAGATTTCTCAAAGATAAATTCCGCCCCTCGTAACTCCAATTCTATCCTCAAATCATAAGCCCCGTTACCGCACTCACACTAAACACCTCACCTTGATTTTCCATTGAGTCCAGTGGGGTCACCTTATATTTTACGGTGTTTTATTATGTACGTATGTTTCACAACCAAACAATTCTGTAATGTGGCTTTGTAAGCTGTATCAGAAAAGTATTTAATTATAATAATAATAATAATAATAATAATAATAAGAAGAAGAAGAAGAAGAAGAAGAAGAAGAAGAAGAAGAAGAAGAAGAAGAAAAAGAAGAAGGTGGCGAGCATCAGATATTCGCCGCTCTTCAAATCATCCACTGTGATCGGGATTCGAGGAACGGTCGTTCGCTACTCGCGGAATACCGAATGTGTAGAGCCGTCTTTATGTACTTTTTTTCTTTCCTTTTTCCCAGATCTTCTGCCAGCTTCGGGGGATGTCGATTACGACTATCCGCGCCGAGTGCCCACTCGGACTCGGGCCCGCGACCCTCGAGACCGAGTTGCTCCAGCCACATCAGCTAAACCTTTATGTAATTCTTCATAGTGTTTTGTAAGCATTGTAATGCAAGGCCGAAAAGTTTAAGAAAAGCAAAATGAAGGATCTGCAGCCGGACCGGATGGCCGCGATCGCTAAGGCGGTAGTGCCATAGCGATCTCGGACCGAAGGTTTGGGGTTCGAGCCCCGCCTCGGGCATGGTCGTGTTGTGTTCGTCCTTTCACACCCCTATCATCATCATATCGTGTCATCCTCACAGTTACCATACCGTTACAAGCAATAGTGGTCGCTAATGACCTAGTTTTTGAAGCGACCTTCAATAAGTAAGTAAATAAATAAATAAATAAATAAATAAATAAATAAATAAATAAATAAATAAATAAATAAATAAATAAATAATAAAAAAAGGATCTGCAAGACGTGGATTTTGACTTCACTACATATGCGGGAATAGAACATATTAGGAGCAAGAAAAATCAATTTTTTCGCTATCAAACACCTATAACTCAAGTCTTTCTGTACGAAGAGGCCGGCCCTTGTCGCTGCAGCGTTGCATAACTTTCTCCATGCCTACTACATAGTGATATACTTGAAAGTAACATGCTTTGTGATAGTATGTAGAGGAGGAAGTAAAGTTGCAGCAAATTGATGGCAGTTAACCCCAGCGCCTCGCTCAGACAGGCCGTCGACTAACAACGTCCGCTCTCCCTCCCTTCCCGCCTGAGACGCCCCCGACCTCTCCCCCACCCAATCTACCGCCGTGGTTAGGGTACCATGGTGCACGAAGCTGATAACGGTCCTTGATAACGAAAAAGTGGAAAAATCTTGTTCCTATGTATAGTAATTTACTTCCTCTAACAAGTTGAGTAATCAGAATGTATGTTTGTAAGTTCTTGATGCCTTAAGATTGTTTGACGGCAAAACGTATACTTTTTTCTCTCCCCCCCCCCCGTCCGTCCGTCTGGTCAAGGCTAGCGGCAAAACCAGGGGTGTCCAACTTGCAAGGCCTCAAAGGGTCAGAACAACCCTTCATTATTCATACAACCCTAAATTAAACAAAAAATTAGTATTTATTTTTAATGGTAGACTATTTTTACATGGAGAGTTTAAAGGAAATTTATGGACATTTTTTAGAACTAAGACTAACGTTACCATATTAAGAGTGAAAAGTATTTAATGTGAACAGTGTGGTCGATCGGCTACATCGAACAATGAAGGAATGACCACCTCCAGTTCAGTTGCAGTCTCATGAGATGAAGTAAGGAAGAATCTGTAATGTTGCTTCTGTTGTGGCTTTTGATGGATTTCATGGAGGGAATCACACTTTCACAAATTTACCTGCTTCCGAACATTGATTCAGTCAAAAATGTCCCAAATTTGGTAATCTCTCCGTAGATAGTTCTTTGAAAAAACCATAACCCTTTTCTTTGCATGGTCATTAGGAACATGTCAGCTTGAAGATCACACAACGCAAGTTGTAGGTCAGGTGGTAGGTAGGTATCATCATCAATGGTAGCTCCAAGGGAATTATTATAAAGCAGTTAACTACTTTTGAGACTATAAATTTCGTCAAATCTTCTATTGAATTCATCAATATCTTTTTGAATTTGTGAACTGCAGCTTAAGAACAATTGTTTACTCAATAAGTTTCCTATCTTTTTAATTAAACTGCCATCAGTAAAAGCTTTATTTTGCCTTTGCCAGATCAAAAGACACGACTTAAGATGCATACAAATAATGTGTTTGGGAATGTAATAATTTACCACATACCAGTTTGTTGTTTAAACTCGTCGACTTTCATCTGTATATGTAGGCAGGCGCTGACCCACAGGGAGGGGATAAGGGTAATTTCTCCCCCAAAATGTTTTCAGTAGCTATTAATTTTAACTTCTCACGACACTTTTCAGTCACAAGTGGTGCTAAAACTGCACGTACTTTCACTCCCATGTTTTCATGTAAAATTAAGCGAAAAGTAATCAAATTTTCGAAAAAGGTCCTTATTTCAAAATCCTAATTTAAGGAACAGATTTCATTAAGGCAAAAATATATATCTTTAGTATTTTAATTGTAGGAAGACTTCGAAAAAATTTGCAACTTTTCCAATTTTCCAAAGTTTGTTTTCTAATGAACTTGATACCTGCACTATTCTCTTAAACGTTCTTCGCACTATCTAACAAAACAACAAAAAAGTCAAAACCGATGGAGCTTTTTTTGTAAATTTGAAAAATGTATCAGTGCACTCATGTAAAATACCCCAAAAATTGGCACATTGGTTTCAAATTCCAGGGGCCGTACCATCAGCCATATCCATTGCGGAATATCATTTTGGAGGAAATCGACTGATCAGTTTAGTTGTTAGTGTTGTTCAGACAAACATGTTTTGCCGTCATTCAATTTTTCTGTTTCAAGGATCCACAAAACAGATTCTTGCTACACCAAGTGTGAGGGGATGTTTTCTAAATTTAGCAACTGGACTTATCCACGTTTTCATTTCCAGGGCCCTGCCGAAAATTCGCCGCTTTGTCGCGCAGCAATACATAACTTTCTCTCTACCCCCTAAAACTATTTGCGGATTATCATTAAAACGAATAAAATCATTTCACAGCATGAGCTGAGTTAAAAATAAAAAATAAAAACTATCTTAATGTACCGATCACACTCGACTCATTGGGCATTTATATAGTATCACTAGGATGAGGAATATAATAATTAAGGAATGGATATTGATGACATCACCTAAAACATTACCAAAAATGATCAATAAAATACTCTTTAAATGTTTTTAAAATTCTCTAATTACATAGAAAAATGACGTTATTTTTTTATCAAAACAAATTCAGATGCGTAATTTCAGCTGTTAGATATGTTACTTATGTAATCGCAGTGTCAGATTTAGGGGAGGGCATAACCTCCCAAAAAAGAGGCCCAGAGAAATAAATTAAAATTGTTAAAGGTTCAGGAAAAATAAAATTGACTAACATAAGAAAAACTTGTAGAAACTTCTAAAATATACCGAAAAAATAACCGCGCGTTCTGTCCTTAGCCTTTTAGTTAAGAATGGGAATCCTGAATCTCACTGAATTGTAGCTCAGTGGTTCGTTTGCAAATTGTCTTCGACTGTTCTCCAGAAGGGTGTGACAAGGGGTGCTACGGCGACTTCCACGTACAGGAGTGTGGCCGACGCAACCGGAAACAGGTGGAGTAAGGTCTCTCTCTCGGTGCCAAACGAGTGATCGTGGACCATTTTGACATATCGTGCAATTACAGTGTACCCGTAACAAAAGCATGGCGAATGGATCGCATTCATGCGCCTCGAGACGACGCGGTTAATAAGTACTTAAGAGAAAGAAAATATCTAAAACGAATAAGAAGAAAAGAAAAATAAATATATTTAAAAGAAAAAATAGAAGGCTTAAGACATCTTGTGTGAAATCCTGTCAACTTTCTTCAGTCCTGAATAGTTATATTTGTATGTAAGCGAATCTTTAATTTGTAAATAGATATCATGCGTTTTTATTTAAATTCTGTCTGTTCATATCATAGAATGAAAAATCTAATACCCTATTTCTTCTTCGTTTTGCAGCTCTGAATTCAACGTTTTTAATATATATATATATATATATATATATATATATATATATATATATATATATATATATATATATATATATATATCCGTAGAGTACAGACATTTATTTTATGTTATGACGAAACGATATGACGTATTTTCATATGTAATTTTTTTGCGCATTTTTCGTCTGCGAGAGCGGCGATGCACAAGAACCCCCCCCTCCTGCGCCCAAGTACATTTTTACATGCTGCAGGTTTACTCCGATTTAAACGTAGTGACACACGAGCTGGAAGGAGAGGGGGGGTACTGCACCCAATTGAAACCTCTAATACCAAAAATGTAAGTTCCGATTGGATGATAGTGTCCCCCCTCTCCGTCCACTATGTGACGTATAAGTGCCACTGTGTTTAAATCGGAGTACAGTCCCGAAACTGGAAAAACAACAAAACGCCAAATAGAGGCAAAAGTATTGCCATTCTTAAAGCCATTAGCGTGCCGTATGAGTAATGGCTTTGTGATTATCTACCAACCAGTCGCGTATAGAGAGTGAAGGGCTATCTTCTGCGGTGGAGAAGTTGGCTGCGGGAAGAGAGAGCGATGCGAAGCGGGCGGAGGGGAGAAGCGGGGGCAGGGAAATGGAGGGGGCCGTCCCGGAGTCACAGTCCGTCGATACGCGAGGCCAGCGCTCGGCTGCCAGCCAACGCAACGTTCGTTACGAGAGGCAGCGAGCGAATAACAACGGCGAACGGCCCTGCGCGCTCGAGCTGGTCAACACCAGCAAGCTCCGTCAAGCTTCGGCGTTTCCACTGTGAGTACCTCTTGCGCGTGCTGCTCTTCCACTGACGCACCAACGATTATCATCGCAAACTGAACATCGCTATTCTCTGCGTCCCTGGTTGGCACCTTCAAGATAGTGTGGCGTTACATCACATGAACCTGATTTTTATAATAGAAACCTTTTTGATCAATGAGATGTGTATATTAGTGGCTGTGTATAAGTTGAATTGTGTGTACACTGAACGTTAGTTCAGCTAATGAAGTATGTTTGCTATATAAGGCCCGCTATCACGGATGAAACAGTTTTATATTTTAAATTTAATTAAAATACAAATAGTCAAACTTATTCACTTTCATTGTTGGAAAACATTACACTTCCTTTCAATATTGTGTCAATATGGTGCATCATTTTCGTGAATCAACAGGATGCATAAAAGATTTTGCAATGTTACCACCCTGATTTGATGCGAACGGCGTAAATGTTTCTTCTGCCATCTGTGCGCCACGGCATAAACTTTTTATGGCAAGACTGTTCCTTCATTCATGAATTGTTTCGGTGCTACACACAACCACAATGAAATTTATCATATAAGGAAGGGAAATGCTATTTTTTCCTGGTGTATTTGTAGGGTATGTTTTTATTGAGAACGTAAATGTGTCTTGAATTACATACGAAATAATTCAACCTTAAAATTGCAATAGAAATTGATATAAAAAGTGTGACTAGGACTTTCTTCGTTGTTAACCTGAGCAACGAAACGCCGCAGCTGCGCCCTGGTGCCCGCTGGTGCCTGACTAATGGCGGTCTGCCATGACGTTGGCTGTGCTGCAGTGCTCGTGCCGTGGGAGAGGCGTGCAAGGTGGTGGGGGGAGCGAACAGTGGGAGAACGACACAGAGGTCGGCCGACGGAGATTATAGAAACGGTCATCATTAGAGTGGCGTGCCTCGCGTCATAATGTTTCTTCTTCCTTCTGACTACCAAATTATACACTCTCATACTTCAACGAAATATTAAGGCCTACTTACTAACCTTCGCAGACTAACGTTAACAGAGTATATTACTTATTATAGTGTATATAGGGTTGCCATAAGGATAGCAATGGACTTTAGGATATCAGAAATATATTTCAGAGCAAATTGTATAAAAATAAACAAATAAATAGTATATGGAATAAATCGTATTACAATCTAAATTGTTCAAGATAATTTACATTGCACATTTTCAAGAATGTCACAGTGACCTCTTTTTCTAGGCCGAATTTCACTGACTTTTCCGTTATCCAAGCCATTTCCTTATTTTTACACAGCAAAAGTGAAGTATTTCAAGGCATTTTAATACAATTTTAAATAAAGCAGGACTTTGGTCAAAATGAAAACGTTCACTGAGCCCTTTTCGCCCATGCATTCCAGTTTTTCTTGCACTAACCCCCTTGTGAGAGAGGCAGAATGCTCTTCGATTGAAAACACACTATACCTTTTTTAAATCTATTTTTGAACTCAGATTGTAGTTAAAAAAGACAAGTGTAAATATTTTTGTTTAATAAAGAAATAACCCGCTTGCATTCTCTTATGTAGCACATAGTTCTGTGATATAGTTCACACGTAGTTTTAGTTCTGTGTTTAGTTCATACGTAGTCCTAAAACGAATTGTTTTGTAAGGCTGTGAATTAGAATAGTAAAAACTCAGGACTGGCAGAAATAAAGAAAACTCTGGCGGCACCTGTCGGTATATGATACATATCCCGTTTTTTTAGGACGTATGGCAAACAAAATTAATTCCTATTTTACGTTACTTATTAATTACCTACTTACTTATTAATTCTTATTATATATATATATATATATATATATATATATATATATATATATATATATATATATATATATATATAATGCTGTTTATATGCTTATTTCTGTGTGACTACAAAATTCGCGATATTGTTTCTTGCTTATGATCATGTTGGAGGCGACTCTAGAACTGGCAATTAAGTAATGTACCCAATATTATGTAATTTTTCTCGTATGAGGATTCGCATTTCTCATGATAAGAAATCACGTATTGGCAACAATTCAAAAATCCTTCCAAAATATGTACGATATACTAGTAAAGGGGAAATCTGAAATAGAAGTCAATTAGGTGATTTCCTTGAATTAAAATAGAAATGACATTCCCTGAATAAAATTAGAAGTATTAGCTGGAATTATGAGATGTTGCAACATGGATGAATATCCCCTGCTTTGTCATTGCGTTAATATTTTAAAAGCAACATGTGTAGGGTCCCTCATCGGCTTTTAATTTTTTTTATTGTTTCATTATACTAAGCGACGTAATTACGGATTAGTTTAACTGCCTGATATCGAAAATACTCCATAAGTATTTTTTTAGTTTTCAATGTTAATTTTTAATTCAAATTTTGACTTATAAATACTTGTCTAAAACTACTATTCTTGGAAAAAGTCACAATGTAAGGTAGTTATTCTCGAAAGACTAATCGAAAAATTGTGGAAACGTCTTGTTTGTGTTTTTAATTGAGACAAAATATTTTCTTTACCGTAATTTCGATTACCTTCCTAGCATTTTTGAAATATTATTTTATATTTGGGGGAATGTTTTCCAGCATTCATAATACCAAATACAAATAGTAATACTAAGACAAAATGGTACAGACTTTCTCGTGCCAGTTCCTTTCCTATTCTCTTGTGTCTGAACTAACTTTCCTGTTTTGCTCCGCCCTCTTTCCAGCTGCCCTGTGGGGGCTTCACACTTTTTTCAAGTTTTCTCATTTTTTTCGATGTTGTAATAATGAAGCTGAAATAATGAATCTAAGAATATTATAGATGAGTAAAATCTAGACTTATACGCAAATTTTGATTGGAAATTTTTGTACCATTTTTGAGAAAATGTTGTTTGAGTGTTTCTACAAATGCACAGTTTTCCGATAAACTTTTCAATTGATAGACTTCACAATAAATCATTTTAATCACTTCTGCTCACTGCAATACTGTAAACAAAAATAGCCCGTAAAGAAAATATAAACGACATGAGAAGTACATCAAAAAATTAAAATTTGTATATTTTTTTAAATATTAAACTAATACATCGAAATGGCGTATATCTCATGGTATTCAGTGTAGTTAGCTTTATCTGAACCAAAAGTATAAAGTTATTAACTTTTAAAATATTTTTTCTCTCTTTGTGAGGTAATTTTGTTTTACGTTGTCCGAAAACTACAATTTAAAAAATGTACACAAAATTCTCCACAATGAACGAAATAATTCTGGAGAATAATTTACATTTGATAAAATATTTTAAACTGTAGTTGTTCGAGGAGATAAACAATTTCAAACTTTTGCAATTTTTTAATATTAAGAATTAACAATAATAATCTGACCCAGACACCTTTGTGTTTCGTTCTGTCCTTAATTAGGAATTTAAACAAATGATATGGAGCCATTTTTCGGAAAATGTTGAAAATGGTCTTGGAGCTCTGTGTAAAGTAGACCCCAAAATTTAAAGCTTTAAAAAAAATATCAAAGCTTCGTGTCGAGTCAAATTGATCGTGAAATATTAGTTTTAGAAAAGTCTTGTGAATAGCTAGTGTTGTTCATAGACTAATGTTTTGAAGAAAAAAAAATCGTTATTAGAGTTCCAAAACGTTTTTATTAGTTAAAATCTCGAAATTGATTTTTCGCAGTATTACATAAAATTCTCTATTTTTCGTATGTATACAAGAAAGTAAAAAAAACACACCGATATTTCTTACCTTAACTCGAATGTGCGCAAACCGCCCGCCTATTGTTGCCGAGTCCATGCGCGCAATAATTGCAAGAGATCTCTGGAACCGTGTTTTGCGAGATTTAGTGTTAACCATTATTTTGTTGCTACATTATACTAATAGAGCATTCCGAAGAGCATAAAGAAACTTGTGTAATGCTGAGGAAAATCAATTTCGAAGTTTCAACGATTATACACGTTCTGAGATCCGCTAATATCCTCTAATATCCGCCAATAAACTTCTGATATCGTCTTTTTTATCACTCTGACTCGGACACTCTGACCCGTTCGATGTGTCCCATTCGGTGGACACTGCGCCTGACCCTGTCGGAAACACTCCGTCGGTCACGTTGTTCTCCTGACATTGTCCGGCTAACTTTGTCCGTCTCACGCTGTCCCGTCTCACGCTGTCCCGTCTCACGCTGTCCCGTCTCACGCTGTCCCGTCTCA